GGGATTCTTCCTAACTAATATCACTATGATCTCCGGTTTGTTGGTGTAAGGTATGAAGAGACAATCAATCGATGAGATTGTGAAGCTACATCGAATAAGATGCATAGGATGTGTGTTCCACATGCCTATCCATCGCCTTCCTCGACGGGGAATATTAGATGACATAGGATAAGGCAGGAAAACAGCTAGGGTTTCTCAAACCAAAATCTTGAAATAAGAATAGAACTTGTGCACTATGGTAAAGTATAATTCCATTATGTGTAGAAATTTATTTTGATTAAATCTCACAGTGTTGTTATGCAGTAATATTTACTGATGACCATGTTTCGAGCACAATTTATTACTGCTCATAATCATATCAAGGCACTACTCACACGACTTTCCAACCTCGTTTATATAATTCCATTATTTTTCATCGCTTGACTTAATCGGAAGTAGTATTTTCCATATCTCCGGTATGAGTAATGAGTCATTCTTATTGCACATGCTGGGTGTAGATTCGATAAACAAGGATTCAGTAATCAACCTGTCTCTCTCCACCTACCTAGATTACTTCTTAGAATTTTAACCCTCTCCCACCACCCTATTGTGTGGTTGTGTGTTAATGCATGCAGTGCAGTTGCTGAGCTTTTTTCTATATTACTCATCTGTCTCCACAGGGTCAGCCATTCTTACCTTAGCTAAATTCTTTTGTTCAGACAATCTGACTACCCCTGACCTACTAGTTTGACCTATGTAGTTGACCTCACAGTCATTGTAAGGTATTTTGTAAATTATATTATTTTGTCTAATTGGGTCAGCTGGGTTCTTTAACCTACAGAGCTTGTCCTACCTGAGTGAGTTTTTAGGTTTAAATGCCACTCTAATTCCTGCTTTATTAAGAATCCTACGTACGGTCTCAGATGTCCCCTTATTATATGGCATAACAGTAGATGACTTATATTCTCTCATTTGTTTCCATTATTAGTCTCCTCATTATTTTTATTATGCTTTTAACCTTTTTTGATCTTCCTAATGAATTTTATAGGATAGTTATTTAAAACCAACGCCTCTTCTATCTGTTTTATTTCATCATTTAGGTCTTTTCTTGTACTACTTAGTGCTACTGCTCGGTTTGTTCGACACTTAATTAAACCTGCCTTAACAGTTAACGGATGAGACGAATTAAAATCTAAATATCTATTAGAATGAGTTGGTTTTTTATAAACACTAGTGTGAAGTTTATCTTCTTCTATTCGTTTTATTTTGCAGTCTAACATAACTAATTCTCCTTGTTCATTTTCTGATTCAAATGTGAATTTTATTCCCTTTACTAGTGAGTTTATGTGCATCAAAAAGCTAGAGATATGTTCTGTTTTTAACACTGTGAAAGTGTCATCCACACATCTCTACCATATTTTTCGAGTAGGATTACAAGCATTAAGAGCAACATTTTCCCAGCTGTACATAAAGATATCTGTTACGATAGGGGATATTGGTGATCCTATCGCTACACCTTCAGTTTGTTTATATGTTTTGCCCTCAAATTTAAAGATAGTAGATGTGAGGTATAACTGAATTCTTAAAATAATTCCCTCATTCGGTAGCTTTGCCCTACGAGTAAGCTCAGGGTCAGCGATTAGTTCTCTTTTAACTTCTTCAAAGGCTATACTGAGGGGTATATTAATGTAAAGACTAGTTATATCAAAACTAACCATTGTTTCATCCTTCTCTAGTTGAATGTAATTTAGTTTCTTTTTCATCTCATATGAATTAGTTAGTCTAGAGTTTGAACGATTTCTAGTGGGACATAATATTAGTGTTTTGATAATTCATAAGTAGTGGTATCAAATAACTATCCTATAAAATTCATTAGGAAGATCAAAAAAGGTTAAAAGCATAATAAAAATAATGAGGAGACTAATAATGGAAACAAATGAGAGAATATAAGTCATCTACTGTTATGCCATATAATAAGGGGACATCTGAGACCGTACGTAGGATTCTTAATAAAGCAGGAATTAGAGTGGCATTTAAACCTAAAAACTCACTCAGGTAGGACAAGCTCTGTAGGTTAAAGAACCCAGCTGACCCAATTAGACAAAATAATATAATTTACAAAATACCTTACAATGACTGTGAGGTCAACTACATAGGTCAAACTAGTAGGTCAGGGGTAGTCAGATTGTCTGAACAAAAGAATTTAGCTAAGGTAAGAATGGCTGACCCTGTGGAGACAGATGAGTAATATAGAAAAAAGCTCAGCAACTGCACTGCATGCATTAACACACAACCACACAATAGGGTGGTGGGAGAGGGTTAAAATTCTAAGAAGTAATCTAGGTAGGTGGAGAGAGACAGGTTGATTACTGAATCCTTGTTTATCGAATCTACACCCAGCATGTGCAATAAGAATGACTCATTACTCATACCGGAGATATGGAAAATACTACTTCCGATCAAGTCAAGCGATGAAAAATAATGGAATTATATAAACGAGGTTGGAAAGTCGTGTGAGTAGTGCCTTGATATGATTATGAGCAGTAATAAATTGTGCTCAAAACATGGTCATCAGTAAATATTACTGCATAACAACACTGTGAGATTTAATCAAAATAAATTTTACCCATAATTGAATGATGGATCTCAGTGTGCACAAAACAAAGGACGAGACACATTTTACTAGTTACTAGCTTGTGTTCAATTTGTTTGATAGTATAGACCAACGCAAGCTTCATAAACAATAATAAGTTATATAATATGTGATTTTGGCTTATTTTTAAAGAACAAGACAATGTTGAAACACCAGTGGAATAAATTTGAAAGAGGTCAGTTTCTTCACTTACCTAGGCAGTAGCGTTTTAACTACAGTCTACGAGGCTGAGAAGGATGTCAAAATCACAGTTGGAAAGACACGTCAGGCTTTCATTGTATTAGGTAAGTTTATTTGAAATAACACACAGTGATTGTTAATAATGTGTCACTCACTGTGTGTAATTTCAAATAAACTTATCTAATGTAGAATTATATCTTACCACAGTGCCCAAGTTCCACACTTACATTAACAAATCTTCATCAGTGTGAAATCACTTTAGATATCTGCTGTACTCAACAGTAGTATGCAGAACAAAATTCAGATTTTCCGCACCAATGTGTTAATTCAGTTAGTTCTTCTATATGAGTTAGGAATTCGGTGTGCGTCACGAAAAGCATTTTGAACAGATTACTGCAGAATTTTTACAACAACTGCCTTCGCCAGCTGCACACTGAAGATCAAACTGTCAGACCAGGAAAGATAAGCAACAAGTAACTCCGGAGTGCGATGAATCAACCAAGATCCTAATGCCCATGAAATATACCAAAGAAAATGGAGAGAGGGGTTGGATGCATGCTGAGGTGACTGGTAAGTGACATCTCGCTTCAAACCATCGATAGACTGGAACTCGAATGGGATACGGCAAGCTGGGTGTGTGCTCAAGGACGACATGGAGAAGATCATGTGAGTAGGGGGATGAGAGTTTATGGGTAATTAGAGCCAGATGAAGACTGCAGAGAGCAGTATAGAATGGAGGTGCTCTGTTTAAGCCCTATGGAACACAGCTCCTTGTTAACTAACTTAGAGATGTAAAATGTTAAGGGCAAGATTGTCACGGAAAAATGATTATATCCAGTTCATTCCCCCTATATTCTATTTTCCTACACAGTTGATCCTCTGCAAAAAGACGTTAAGACTATGTAGGAAAATAAGCAGACGCTGAAAAGCCTCATACAGCCGGAGCACATATAACCTCAAAGCATGCCTAACTCAGATCTACAGCAAAGTAGGAAAATTGCGATCTTGATCACGACCAATGAAACATCATGAAAAAACCTACAAAAACAACAAAATTTCGCCTAGGAAATCTCCGGTCGACACAGACCCATTGAAAAAAGCACAACATGAACTGATAAGTCACGTAATACGACAACCGTATTATCACTCAGAAGTAAATAAGTTAGTGGCTGAAAAAACTAAGGTGTGAATAAAAACAATGCGTTTTACAGTCACGTTACCCTCAAAATAGTAGAAACACTCCTTCAGAGCTTTAGGTCCTAAAACCAACTTTCATTTTTTCTAAAGTGGAACAGAAGATGCAAGAATACAGACTCTTTATTAATAAAAATAATAATGGCCTTATTCCAAACAGTACTTTTGGTACAAATATGGAATTTTCAGCATGTAGTAGTACAGTATTGCATCTAATATTCTCATTACAGGGGTGACAATTAAAACAGGGTATTTACATTGATAAAATATTGTTCAATAAGAAAATGGATAAAAAACTAAGTTGAAATATTAACAGCAATGTAACAGTGGAAAAAATAGGTCGATTTACTTAGAGTTCCACAGTAAGTTGGTAATTTCCTGCCTTACACTTTTCTCATCACAAAATATGTGTGGCTGCCAAATAAGGTATTGGAGAGTTTTTGTACTTAGTTTTCCGAGCATACAGTCTTCTATAGTTGCTTCTAGTTCCCCTACCCGATGAGATCCAGCAAGGAGAGAGTTGTGTATACAGAGGATGTTCAAAGTCTGACAAGATAGTGTTTACTAATTTCTTGCATGAGTTCGTGTGTGTACGTATACCCTAGCTAGCTGGAAATTAATTAAGCGGAGCAGGTCTTCAAAGTACCAGACATCGAGTCACAATTAATATGTCAAGGTTGATGATACTACTCACCTGATTAGGCTCAAGTAGGCAGGTGTAGTGGGATCCTAACCCATAACCCAATGGTTGAAAGTCGGATGCTCAAGTCGGGTAGCATAATCTCCACATCCTAGTGATACATCAGACTTCTCAATCAACGGTTCAATAAAAGCTATATGTTTATGAATTAACCAACCGAAATAAACAATGAAACCATCTGAAAGCAATCTCAAATACGCTGGGCAATAAACATTTCTGAATTCATATAAAATAAGGGAAAAGAGGATAGGACAAATTTTTACAAACATTTCAGAATAAAAGCATGTCATCTACCTTTAACAAATTTCGTTTTATTCGTCAGTGGATTGACTGGTGTAATTTGATGAACAATAGCTTCCCATTCCAGTTGGAATTCACCGAGTGCACGTAATAGTTGACTAGAATTTTGATCAATTTCATTATCAGAAATTAGATTAGTAGTGGCTGTAAAATCCAGTGCATCTGATGGTGATGATGACGACGATGGAAGGGCTTGACATTTATCCCGTACAGCAGATAGTATGGAGTTAACAACTTTATTTTTTCTTCTTTCATAATGTTGGATTTCATTTGTGAGAATCTAAAAAAACAGATGATAATGGAAAGATAATTAAAAAGTTTATTCAGAAGATTAAATCAACTTTGTCGTGGATGTTGTTGGCAGGTTAATTAACATAACAACATATTACTGAATCTTAAAAAAGTAAACTTCATGAACAGATATTAAACATTAAACTTTATGTCAATATTTAGGAAGCGTATTATGTTTATAATTACTTTATGAACTCCTCCTAAATATAAGTAGTGTGGTTGACCAACATGAATGCCTGGTTCCCAAATGGTAGGTCACGGTTTCAAGACGTCCTTCACTTATCTCAAAATTAGTAAAAGTGTATTATGATAAATCTACACATAAAGAGTGACTTTTGGTCTTTTAATTTAATACAAGGTAAACACTTTGGGTTACTACAATATTTAACTTCTAACTAGAGGTTTTAGTTTATGAAAATAATGAAAATTAAACTTATACGTATATATATTTATTTATTTTCGATTATAGCTTGACTGCACACAACTATTGGTACAAGTATGGAATTTTCAGCATGTGATATAAGTAGCCGAAATATTGCAGGTCGACCATAGATATCAGGTGTGTATCGGCGCGGGATCAAATCCCGGACCATCTGCAAGGCTGGCGAGAGTCATAACCTCTGTGCCACCAACGCACAGAAGTTAACTCTTGATAAAAAGTGACCTGTTCAAACATAAATCTCGTAAAAGTATTAAAAAATCAGTAGATAGCTAAAGATGACTTTAGCATGAACACTATACTATTTAGAAAAATCTATTTTGTGAGAATTCACAATGATAAAATCAAAACTTAAAAAAAAGATTCATCTTTTGCATCATTATCATCTTGTGATAACAATCACATTTCGGTAGTGACCAGCTGCGGTTTTGTTTAATTACCAGTTACTGTATAATAAAAAACATCATGTTATCTAATCCGCAAAAATAAACGTTATTAATGCACGAGTATTACTTTTCAATCGATCAAGTCAGGGAAAGATGGAGATATATAAATAACAAGATAAAAATGGCTTAAATGTCAGGTAAAAAGGTGATACAGCGGTTAGGACGCCCGCCGACCATGCACATAGTCCGGGGTTCGTTCCCCGGCAGACGCACACCCGATTTCAATGGTTGACCTGCAAAATTTGGGCTACCGATATCACATGCTGAAAATTCCACACTTGTGTCATAAAAAACACTGTGGGGAGTGAAGCTATAATGAAATAAAATAATAATAAAAATTAAGAGTGATAGAAAGATAAAATTCCACGACCAAGATATGCTAGCATTATTAAAGTGATTGGCTGTCTGGTTTAAAATTTTCAGTTTGTAATCTGAGTAGTCTTGACGGTGATAGCAGAAGCGAATCGAGGTATCAGGAAAAAGATGATAACTTTATCAAGATAAGTGAAATCACAAACGGAGTGCCCATAATAGATTCTGCTGCTATCCACGACCAGACACGTGGAATCTTCACAAGTGAAACTGTTTCATACGGAAAGACTGACTCCAGGAATTCCTAATGAGTGGAATTATTTACATTATGCGCTTCCTTTAAATAGAACAAAATAATGATGAATATGTAACCTAACATAGTGTTCAGTCACCATATGAAGGTTTATAAGCTGGAAAAAATTTTTAATCTATCTTCCGATGGATGTTATTGCACCTTGCCGCCTAAATACCAGTGAATAAAGCTCAATTTAAGGTACACTGAATAAAATTGAAGTACGTTAAGAACTGATAAATACTTATATAAATTGACAATGTATTATAAGCTGTGTGCTGGTTAGCATATTCAAATTTCCTACTGTACAAAGCAAAATATGTTCAATTTAGCATCACATTAGTCCATTTTGAAATCTTTCATTCAACAGAGTCCCTACTCAGTGAAAGCTGTGAAGTGATTGGGTAGTGAGATATTGAAACCAGAAATGAAAAGTAAATGCTCTTTAAAATGGTCACACGATCTAGCAGAATGGGTTGTACAATTTCCCGCTATCGCCAATTGTAACAAAGAGTGGCTAAGCAGCTTCAACAAAATGGCAACTAGATTACTACTAGTCGGGTGATCAAAAGAAGTGTTTTTATACGAAGAAAAATAAAATCCAAATTTAATTTGGATGCAACAAGCAATGTTGTGAAATATTCAATAGGTATTTCAGTAGACCACATTTAGCATAATACCATCTAGATGATTGCCACAAGTGTTTTTCTTTCCAAAAATTCTCTTCCCTGGTAATTTTCACTCTACTGATTTGAAAAGACAAAAACAAAAGCAAACTACAAAAGCAACTACAGTTTATACAAGACATCTGAGTAGCCTAACTCTTCTTGTTTGTTCACCTATACGTTTCGCTTCTAGTTTTCTAGAATGTCACGTTTCTGAACTACGCGTTGCTTTAGATTACAGCATTTCGGAGTGCATCTCCGAAAACTACAGTCATATTCAGCATAGTCAAATTTAAACAGTTCTACAAATTTTACATCACTTCATAAATCATGTATATCTTAAGTACTTCGTGGAAGCTTTCAGGATTATTAATTGTAGGGGGGAAAATCAAGAACAGGATTTAAATGTATTCATGCGGACACATTTGACTTCCTATAGAAACTTACTGTTTCTGAATATTTCCGAAAATTCTCAGGCTCTTCGGACTGTGATCGCTGGCGTATATTATGCAGCAAATGACTCAAGTCCTTCAAGAGACTAATGCAAGACTGAAGTGAATTATCAACCGGTGCTGAATTATCCATAGTAGACAAATCATGCTGAAAAAGGGATTAAAATTTTCCCAGGCATAATACCTTGCAGTGCTCCATAAAGTCATCATTCATCAGGAATTCATAATTATCTCCGGAGAATTCCCATAATGATTTGTCATTTGTACAGTCAGAACTATTGCTGGAACTGGATGAATCCAAGTCCCTCTACAAAATGTATCGTAAAAAGAATGGACGCTTACTCGTCTTCGTTTAGACATGTACACTCTTTGGGACATTGATCAGCAAACAATTTCCATTATGCCATCAATCATCACTTCACAGAAACCTAGGCACACAAGCACACGACTTCACGACTTTAGAAAGTTTTAACAAAAATACCGGGTGAACCCCAAGTGATTATTGTAGCGCATTGAAAAAAGTGTGGCTACAGATTGAATATTTAAAGTGTGAGAGTATAATAGCTAAATAAACATTCGGTGTGCTACATGCGGAAAATGGTTGGCTAACATTAGTTCTTTAATTGATTTTGAAGTAATTTAGCTCAAGGATGTGTCACACTGAACCTGTATGTCTTCGATGAGTTGCTACCATTTCCACTGAAATTTCATGAACCTTAATTTACGAAAGGCACAGAAATTTACTGTTTGTAAGTTTTTCCCATAATGTTTGCGTGATATGTCAATTTAAAGTAGAACTCTAAATTCCACTAGACTCCCTAATTGTATACAAGTAAGGAAGCCTGAAGTTAATCTGATTGGGACTTAAGCTTCACCTTATTTCCATAAGTACTCCTTGACTGTGGTGGTAGAGGACTGTTGACACGTGTGGAGTTCGATACTACAGTGCAACCCTTCTGCACCAAGACAGGAGTTCCCTCAATTCGGCTTCGAAATTTCTATATTCGTAATTCCAAGTTCCCAAAAGAGCCTCCCTTGCGAAAATTATCGATACCGCTCCTATACATAGCTAAATTGTTGCCTGTCGTTTAGCATGCATCCACGAGACAGTCGAAGTATCCAAATGTCTTTATTGGCTAGCTATTCTAAAATGGACATAGCAATCCGATCAGTCAAAGTAATATAATCGTTAAACTACTGAACAGTTTCGTTTATAATAGAATTACTTATTGCGATGAGATAAGTTTTTTTCCAAAACAACAAAGAACTAGCAACAGTAACTCACGCCTAATTTTACCTCTCATGGCAGTTCCAAGCTGGAAAAAGTAACATGTCTCGATGTTCCTGTAAAGGCAGCTCTAGACAAAGGTTAGTTCTTTCATAAAAGTTTCAGTTTTTAAGAATTGACTTTCCTTAATGAAAGAAGATAAGGCACTTGTTGAGCGAATCCTTGTGCTTGCAGAAACTGCTGATGGCTGATTTGTCTCAGGAGAGTTTATCTAATCCTTCTTCCCCTTGCTAAATGGATCAATACAGACGAAATTAGGTCATCTCACTTTATGTTTGCGAATGGTTTTGACTCCTGTAGAACTTCGCTTACTGTTATCGACATGCTAATCTTTAGAATTAGTGTGGCAATATTAGAATAGTGGCATTAGTAGCAGTCACTGCGGGTTAGCATTAGGACGTGGTCCTGAACACTGGTTGTAATAATTTGTGTGATTATTCGGTAAATAAATTCACTCAAAGATAGGCGTTTGGAAGTCTGTACATAGGATTTAACACACTACACATAGTTTCAGATATGCAGAAAAGGAATTGAGTTTCTGTCCGATGTGACAATAATTCTTAATTTTCGCACCAACAGAGAATATTAGGACGAGTTCAAAGAGAAGAAAATGAAAGTGTTAAAACGCCTTAGAACCTCTTCATCAGCTAGTAACTAGACTGACTTAACTTCTCAGACTGCCACACTTGTGCTCTGCATATGACTTACATGCTCATCGATTTGCCTTATTTGCTGCATTCTATATGTGTTCAACACGAGGATATCACTACGGCCGCATCGTATCTTCCGCATACTGAAAGAACCCACATAGCCTTCCATGATTACTGTCTTCACTTATGATAAACAATGGCTTCTAAGATCATTCCAGCGCCCCTCTCATAAGCCTGCTAATGGTGGCAAGTTCCTTTTAAATAAGGTCGTTACGAGAGACGTTTATGGTGCTAGTGAAATTTGTAAAGTCACAACAATTTTTTATTTCGACGACTCCATTTTCACCGCTGTAAAACTGTAATTATGTGTATAAACAACAATTAGTTTCCTTACGTGTGTGCTAAGGTTTGATAATAAGCAGAAATGCAAATGTGAAAGGACTGGTGCAAATGATTACGAGCCAACACTGTTTTATGTCTCAATGGGAATCATTAATTTGGTCACAATTTCACCTAACTATAGTCGTCTACAACTGCCTTCTTATTCTATGTGAAAAGAATCTACTTTCAAATAATTGGCAGCGAATATGAACGGTAAAAATTATTCACATAAACACTAATCAACATGATAAATTCCGATCAAGACCTTGGAATTATTCGGATCAAACAGACACGGAGCAGACCGAGAGGGGAAACTTATACTTTCCATTCTTTCCTACACGTACCTGAGAGTTTAACTAGGACCCTAGGAATCAAATATTTGTCTTCATCAACACCGAATTAGTGGTCCATTTTCTGATTAATTTGAATTTGACATCAAAATAAAAAACGCTTCTCTGGCATTACTGTGTCTTATCGTGAGACACCCACACTAAATAGTATGAACTTGTTTTGGAAAACCACTGAGCCAACTAGAGTCGAGCAGGAGTCATCAAATTATCTTCGGCAGTTGTGAACTCAAATCCACATGAGTGAAGAATATCGTTTCCAAACTATAGCCCTCCTTTCCCTTATTTAGAAATTTCCTGATTTTAATCTAGACTCTTAGCGATCAGCGGTTATCTAATTAACCGCTACAAAGTTTCATTGTCCACAGGAAAATGTTTTGCATATTGTCTAGTACTCCTGATAGTTTTCCATCAGTATCGAAATATTTTCCATGTTTTCAAGATTATATCAGTAGGTAGACCATTTTTAGTCTTAAGAACTCTGACAAACTCGGAAGTATGAGTAAGGAACCCATATTGCGACTGCTGTTGTCGCACTATACCTTCAATTCGGGGGTCCAAAAGAATATACTGTGGTCACTAGGAGTCTACAAGTAAAGGAAGTTGGTGAAATACTGTGTTCTTGCCTTATCCTGTAATTTCTCAGTACCTCATCTCTACCACAACATCCGGGGAGGGATCTGAATGAAAGATTCTTTCATTGGTTGACCCTTGGGAAAGAAGTCCAATAGCCAAGTTAGGATACACCAGACCAAGTAATGTGTGGCTGGAAAGTAGGTTCATCAGAATAGGTGACAAGTGAATTATATGTCCGATCCAGTTTAGATACCTTGTGAAAGAGTTTGAAATCTGCTTTCATTTCATCAACTCAGACGTGGTTTTACGAGCTTTAAATGTCAACCCCGCAAAGCAAACTGAACCTCATCAGTGTGACTCAATAAAACGCGTATTTTCTGAAGTGTAGGATGCACTTTTATGTGACATGCTTAGACCACCAAGTAGTACGAGGACATGTAATGAGTGAAGGCAGTAATATTCGTTCACTGTCATCTCAGAAGATATATTGTATCCTGACCCTCTGCAGGTAATCTAATGGAAGTAATATATACACATATAAGAACATTTATATATAATTGCGACTGTACAGCTAAGTGAATGCATTCACACGGTAGGATAAGCTTTACTGGGCTGTTTCTTCTTGTTCCCAAGTGTGGATGGGTACTTTTAGTGAGTGGAAACGCTGAGTTGTGACAATATTCACTAAGGTGAATATCAGTCACACCGACAAAAAATAAAGGTTGAAGTGTAGCGTATATAAGAGAATAGATGATTTGGCTAATATTTTAGTGAGAGATTTATTTACATCCGAAGTGGGAATTATTTGTCTCGGCAATAAACTATGCGAGCGACTAAACTATTATAAACTACTTTCATTAAAAATTAAGGGGAAGGCCAGAAGGTGACAGCGTTGAATGAAGTGCAGGGAAAAGTTGAATAAACATGAAATAAAGAATAAACAATTTACTGCATACTGTGATGAAATTATATTTAGGCGAACATGAATAACCAAAGAAACTACATATGCACTCATGGTTTGACTATGTTTTGCGTTCTTAGGGCATCTTCTGCCAAATTTTATCTGACTTATTATGCGATGCTGAAAGAGCTGTCTGAGAGTGAATAGTTGATACTCACTTCGTGGTGGAATCAGTGACTGCTTCCAAGTTCTCTCAATCAACATGCAAGATGTTCCTGAACCAAGTAAGCTATATTCCTCAATGGAGGTTCTATGCACCTAGCTTCGCAACTGTAAGTGGGACTTAGTTTCTTAATAAATGATGTGGCCCTCACTGATGACAATGAAGACAGATGGTTAAAACTCAAGTAACTTGTCTTAAAATTTGTTTAAAAAGATATATAAACGGTGGTATGACAGTTGCAAACGCAAAACAGTCGTTCTTCAAACAGGGGCGAGGTATACCAAACAGTAATAACGTGCGAGGTGGGAACGTTTGATCAGTCACATTTACGTGTACATAAAAGGAAGAAGTTGCAGACTCACATGAATGGCCCAAAGTGGTGGGCGTTTACATCATGTTAACTTAGGATCATGTGGCAGTAATAGTTAGCAAAATCCTAGTGATATATTATTGGTGTTCTAGTCGTACCTATCAGTTGCAAATTACGCTGAATGCAAAATAACCACCATTTTGATGTTCTGTCTCTGGAATGTTTAAATCGTCTCCTTTTTCCAACTAAGTCAAGCTTCTTGTATCATGACGTAGCTGTTAACCCACCTATTGTCATGCTAACGAATCTCCTGTTCAGTCGATTCGTGAGCTTATTGTTCTAATTACTGTTAGCAACAACAACACAACATGATACCAGTGAAAACGTGATACAAGAAGACAAGAAGAGAAGACTGTTGACGCAGAGAGCTTTCACTGTCTCGTATCAACAGCAAAAATGACTGACAGCGTTTGTGTATATGTGCTTCAAATGACCTTGAGAGACACTTATTACATAAATAAATTAAAACGGACAGTAACCAGTAGGATTTCGAGGATCATAATTGGGATGACAGAAAATAAGGTTTATGAATCAATAAGTGGGTTGAGAGAAATAAAACCAGACATTATATATATATCACCTTTCGACCACCTTCTTTACTTTGAGTCTTCAAACCTGTAGTTTCGGATTAGCCATCCTGAT